CCCAATAGAACCCGCACCTCTCGCTTTCCGGGCAAGTGCGCTACCAGTTACGCTACCGGGGCACCATTTCATTCCCAACTCAGCTTTTCATGGCCTACCAAGACAGCACCGAAATCTGTGAAACTCCATGAACTACAGGTACGCTGAAAGGTGGACGGTTTGGGAGATAGACGGGTTAAACAAGTTGGAAGCATGGCTGTCGAAGGGCCGTATGCTGAATGTTGGGGAGGGGACGGGGATGGGTGAATGTTGGGGAGGTTCGTCGCAGGACCCACTGGGCAACTGTCGCACCTTTGATTTTGCAGCTTTGTTTCCATTCTTTCATCGCTGCTTTTGGTGTAAAGAAAGCGAATATACAATCAGAAACAGTAAAAGGATGGAAACAAAGCTGCAAAATCAAAGGTGCGACCGTTGCCCAGTGGGTCCTGCGACGAACCTCCCCAACATTTACCCATCCCCGTCCCCTACCCAACATTCAGCATACGGCCCCAAAAGAGCGGTCAGGCTGCTAAAGTAGTCAATTAGAGGAGTTTCAGGTCTAGAGTCCCTGCAGAACTTCTCAAAAAATAGGCAATTTTATAATTTATGAGCGATATGGCGAGGTTTGACGGATCGGGTGTTACCGACAGGGTTTTAGTAAGCCGGGAAGCTTTCCTTAACACGGTACTCGGACACGCCCTTCACATAGCAACTCCAGAAGGAGCCTGACTGTCAATACAATTTTTCAAGATCAGAAAGTAATTTCTAGGGTGCCGGCGCTCCTGCTGCTCCCGTCGCTCCGAGATCGAAATCGTCGAAGTCAGGGAAACGAGCAACTAAATCCGAGGATCATAGCGTCTATTTAGGAGGGAGATAATGTGAGTTTTCTCACCCCTCTGCTTTTCTTCGTACTATACCTACCATACAATTTTCAGGAAACTTGTCGTAAATTCGACGTATGTCTTCCATATGATACACTTTGAAAGAAATGCGCTAAAATCACAATTAGCGTATCAGTTTTAATCAAATGTACATATAAAGTGTTTTCACAGTGTCCATACGAATTCAACATATCTTAGAAGATAGTAGTAGTAAGAACACTGAAAAGACTGATGGAGCGAACATCGAAGCAGAAGCGGACAGCTGGGATGGGAATGGCCCTGCAGGACAGACCGTGTTGCAGTACGAAGACGAATTGCACAGTTTTAGGTCGTAGTTAATAGAATTCACCTGCCTAAAAACCAGGAATTTTGTGGTTAATTATTTCAAGACACGAACGTACTGACCTATACTCGCAATTGCCAAACGAGGTGTACTGCACATTGTCCACGTAAAAGAGTGCGTCGCTGTTGGTGCAGGACTTCTCGAGTGTGTACCTGCACATGGTCACGTAATAGAGGTGTTCGCTGTTGATGCAGGACTTCTTCACACGGTAACCCGTCGATGACTGGGTTCTACCTAAAGGGGAGTTTGAAGGCAGTCTCCACGATGGCACATGTAAAGGCTATAAGAAGGAAGAGTAGAGTGATTGGACACCTGCAGGACAAGAAAAGAAACGAAACCGTTGTGATGAATTACCAACAAGTTGACTATAAATAAAAAGATTAACGGCGCTCACGGCTCTATCAAATCCCTTCTGGGATGCGCAACGCATTCCATTTCCATTCATAATCGTAGTGGCATTTGAATGCGGTGTGGCCTATGCAATGAATTGCAGGGCCATTTTCCACAAGACAGCGCTTTCATCTTCCGAGTCAACTTTAGTACCAGTGGACCACGGAGGTATGGAAAGATGGTTGACCCGGGCGAAATTTGATTCGAAATTGAAGCCACGGACCGTGCTCGTGGAAACGCAGCCTCTTGCAACTACCGTGAATAATTGAACTATATCCGTACTAAATTCCTGTTCCTTGCAAATACATTTAAAGGAATTCCACGGAAAGAGTGATCATTTTGTCTTGTGTGTAGGATTAGTATTATCGAAACTAACGCTTATGTTCCGTTCTTTTTGCTATGCTCATGAGGCTAGGGGCCTAAGGTATCGTTTTTCTGTGGTAATGGAGGCGGAGCTTTTTCCGCGGAAGATTCCTTTAAATCTGAATCTCCAGTGTCTCTTGTCGCGGTTAGAGGCCCGCTCCTCGTCATGCCATCCTTGGCAGCCAACAGTTGTTGCTTTGGAGAATCTCTGGCCGAGACAATTGATTGGGGAAAGCTGGTGAGCGATGCTTTTTTTGTAGTCAGTTGGTCTGTGGGAGAGGCTGGATGCGCTCATGCCTTTAATCGAGGGGTGTGGAATACTCCCATGATGTCTTGGAGCCGCTTACAGTACGTGTTATCTCTGCTGTAACAGGTACTTGCGCGACCTATCCAGAGCCTGAGATGGAAGAGGAAGAATTCTGGCGGAGTTCCAAACAATTTGGTTTCCCATGACGTTTTCCCCTCTGCTGGCTTAGTTCCATAGCCGCCTTCCGCCCTGAATCGGAAGTTTCCATAGGGCCATGGGCGCCAACTTGATAAAACTTTTTCAATTCACGAGAAATGGAATATTCATAAAGTTTCGAATGAATAGATTCGGCCTGCCAGAGAAGGGTCGAATTCGTTTCTCTCTTCCCTAGATGGCGATTCTCAAGTCGTCAATATTGAGAGAGAGGAACCATGCGGTTTCCAGTTCTTTTAACACCGCCTGTCATCTGTCGCACTCTGCTCCCTTGATCCCAAATTCTCGTTTACCTACAAGTTTTCACGTTTCGCTTTCCGTTGACAAAGGCTATCATGAAGAACAAGGATGGAGCCTTTCATACCAGGATAAGCCTTTTCGGCCCTGGCAGTAGAATTGCTACCATCAAATCCAAAGATCTGCATTACCGGCGCAACAGCATATTTCTACCACACACTACCAGAGGTTACTTCTGACGACCTTCCCTTGAGCCTGCCACTTTTTTGTGTGTTGCTGTTAGTATTACAAGTATTTCTGTGCAACAATGAATCGGCGCTGGTCCCCGCAACCTGCCAAGTAAGTGTCAATCATTTCTAAAATACTTGAACATATATTCAATTTCTTATCAAAAACGTTAGATATAATGTTGTGCAAGATCATAAACTTTTTCGACACAACTAAGAGTTTTTGAATTTTTACCATAGGTTAAAAAACCGAGAAGCTGTTAGAATAATCGAAGCTTCCTTCTAACATCGTGGAAAAGCTCCCAAATTTCGTTTTAGTCTTATTTTGTGCTAACTAGTAATAAACAATAGCAGGAAGAAATTTCTTCTCACGGAAAAAATCAGGGTTGAAAGGGTCAAACTCACTGAACAGACAGTATCTTCCTTGGCAAGATCCCGTGTTACAGTCGTCTTGATCTGCTTCGCACTGATAACATGCGACAAATTGCTCTGCAATGGTCCGTGTTAGAAAAGCTTCTCATGTAAGGTGAAATTGTGAGTTTACGGTCTGGTTCTGGGCAGGCCACGTTGCAGTTATTTCCAGAATTGCATACTCGAACTTGGTACTGCACGTCGACGATGGTTCTGAAACAACATTTTTTCAGCTTTCGACTCTAATCAAGGGTTCCTTAGGATTTGGCCGATTTGCGGTTATTCTGACAGATTGAGGAGCAGGTTGCTACAAATTTGACCGGACCCAGTTTCCACCGTAGCCAAAGCTAACTTTCTTCTTATCGCGCATCTGCAGATGTTGATACAGTACAGTGCCCCTGAAATTCAAGGAACTCACCGCTGCTCACACGTGTTCAACGCAGTCGATGGTCTGTTGTCAGGATATTCGATAAAAGGCAGATTTGTGCAGGATTTTTTCACGTACATCGTTCCAGTTGATAATCGACGCTGTCGCTCTGAAAAATGTCATTGCGTTCTTCAGCAATAGAGAACTTTGTAAAATTCCTAAATCCCCAAGGAGGCGTTGAGTCTGATGTGAATCATAGGTAGCCGTGCCTTCGGCAATTCTGGGGGATTTTTAAGGTCCATTGTGTTTATATAAAGACCAGAAGACCAGTTCCCGGGGAATGCCTGAGCTCGCCAAGTAGTAGCGAACTATTCGTTGAGCAAAAACAAATCGAATCAAGTGGCCTTTCAAATACGAATTATATGATGCAGTTCGGTCCGCCAAGGAAAAAAATGCGAACTTAAGCGCTAGAAACACCGAAAATAAGATCTCTTGTGCAGTTGAGGCTGTAGGTAGGCTCACGTATGTATGTGGAAATGGGCACTCAAACGAGAAATTCGAAGAAAGACGAGGGCAGAACAGGAGAGTCGCAGACACTGGTCGGAGCCTTGTTGAGAAGTGTTACAGAGGATTGGGTTTGCTACGCATATTAATGAAAGCTCTGAACGAAGAGATGAACGGCTCGGTCCTCGAGCGAGCGAGGATCGATTCCAGACACTCCGCACGCCGACAGGGACAGATGAGGACGGGAAGAGAAGTGCTGGCGCCCGCTCGAGCAAATCGACGATCAACGGGACGACAGGTGGTACAGGTGACTCTTGCCTCCATGAAAGCGGCATGGCACAAATTTGCCTATGAACCAGCCAACTTCATTATTGTAGAGGATTTTTCCTCAGGTGTGTAGCTCAGTTATTAGCGTGAATATCGTTTCTTTTTTCATCGACGCTTTCGAACTCAGGAGGGAAATCACTGTAAGCAAATTGTCGCTGTATGATACAGACAGTTTGATCATACAATTCGGTTATTTCTGGCACTTACCAAATAGGCAATACTGGGCGGTACACTGCCCTGTAAAACAATCGGCGCCATACGTTTCACATTCATAGCAGGTGATCGATGGCTCTAAAAATTCTGTTAAGATAGAGCATAGATAATAGAATTCCAAGTGAGAGATAATGATAATTAAACCACATTCAATAGATAATGTCAAGACAGTGGAGATGGCGGTCATGTATGGCGTTGATCCATATATTCCTGGCCGAATTTTTCAGAATCAATTTTCTTCATGTCAAATTAGTGTCATTACGAAATAAGTTAGTATGTTGAAGGAGGCATCAGTACCTTAAACTAGGATGTTCCAGAAGGTCAAAGGGCAGTGGAATAAGTAAGTAGGGATCGAAATGGATCAACGACCAAAGCAGGCGATTATGCTTAACGATTATTCAAAGAAGAACCTTGCAAGGAGTGCAGTAGGCAAGACCAGCGCTGTGTTTGCCTCAGTCTTTGCTACTGATCGGGCACTGGGCTATTGGCTTGAAAGCATCGGCAAAGGCGATACAAGCTGCAAAGTTTGACCTCATCCTAAGCCCCCAGTCACTTTCGATGAGGATCCATTGCGCTGTGAATCGGAAGTTCACCCGGACGCTACCACCTGAGATTTGTAGCAGATACCTGGGCACAGCCGATGCACCACCGCAAGCTGTCTGAATGAAACGGGCTGTAGCAGAATGAAGTTTCGATGGGAACGGCATGCATCTCTGACCATGACCGAGAAGCAGACCTGACCATCTGCAGAAATTTCATTCTGCGCAGGCATAGCCTGGACTTTCCCTAGTCGGTCACCAGTGGAGATGAGTCATGAGTCCACTACGACAACAACACGCGGCACGCCTTATGGCTATCTCGCAGCCTGAACCCACCATCTCACCCAAAACCCGACCTCTTTCGTCAGAGAATATTACCCCCATTTGTAGGATTGGTCGGGTATCCCACTTTGAGAACCGCTTCATCTTATATAGACAACCACTGCGAAGATAACCATGGAATAACTCCCGAGGTTGGCCGCAGCAGTGCGAGAGAACCATTCGAAACGTCTCAAAATCTTCCTTCCTCCGGATGAACGCCCGACCTTACATTGCGAAGATAACTCGCCACCTTCTGAAGGAAACTGGCTCGATCGCGATACCACATCTATCGTATAGCCCTAACATTACTTCATCGCACTATCCCCTTCTCGATGCCCTGAAGCAGTACCTTCGAGAGAAAGGGGTCACTGAATACAACCACCCAAAAAACGACCTCTCCGAACTCTTCATCCCATAGCTCCACTCGTTTTGAGAGGAATGCATCCATTCGCTGCCTAGCAAATGAATGCATATCAGCGATTGCGACGGTGGTTATATTGTTGATCAGTTATTCTCCAGGAAAGAAAAAACTCAATGAAATGAAAGTGTCGAAATTCGGCCAGAAATTATGGTTCAGCCCAATATAATATCGCTTTAGTCGGGAAAATGGCGTCAAGAAAATCCTAATAGTTCAATTGTATTTTTTCTTGAAAACAATAACAGCTATTATTTCGCTATCTAGTACCTCGTGGCATTCCAGCACGACGTTTTAATCACGTCGGAGAGGACAGTATAGAGCATGAGAGTATAGGAAAAAGAATAGAACTCGGTTCAAGTGAAGTTGCGACTCAGGCTATGCTTTTGTCCGTTTGTGAACAGCTTTCGAATCATGCACACTAATAGTACATTTTGAGCCAAAGACTTCCAAAGGAAAAAAAACTTAAAGTGTTGACTTACGTCGTTGAGGTGCAATGGTCACTGGTGGGTTGCAATAATTATTGCAGAAGTTCGTATCGTTGCATATTTTCACGAAGTTCTGTGAAGTGACAGTGTTCCTGAAGTGCCACTCACTGATGCATCAGTAATAATGAGCTTTGTTAAGGAAAATAAACAGGTTTGATAGGTTTTCAAGGTTCAGAAAAAAGACCTTATCACCAGTTTGATTGAAATTACACTAATTCGTGCCTGAAAATCATAGCATTTCATGTAAGGAGCTTTTTTTGCTATTCCCTGCAAATTATAAGTACATGTGAATGAGAACAAAGAAATAAGATACATTTCTCTCGAATGACGCTCGAAAAATCTTGAAAGCGGGAATATTTGGTAAAACGAAAAAGAACGAAATTCGCATGTTCTATTCATTCGTAGTAATGAGCAGCTGGGGAATGAAAATTTCTGTTAAAAGGAATTCTTCCCAGAATTCCCAGCATGAATGTGTCATTATGATCACTAAAGACAACACACAAAGTTTCAAACAGATGCACAGATCCGATTGAGGAAAAAAAAACAGAAACTAGGAAAGCCACACTCTATGGACAGTCGAAGGTAGGTCGCGCTGCGCAAAGGGCGGGGCATGGAAAGAAGGGCGCCTTGGGACGGCCGTATATCAGGCGACGCATTGGAAGAGTCGGGTTAAGGCAGCGATTACGATAGTTTCTAGAAGGGTTCAGAGAGACAAATTGGTGCTCAGTGGTACGCCAGTGGCGAAAAAAGGAAAGAAATCCGTCAAGAAAACGCAAAATGGACCCCTTTTTGGCCGTTGGTTTTCACTCATGAACAGGTAACAGCTCAGAAAGCGGACGTATGAACGAGTTCATCGCAACGCGTTTGGTGGCACCATGCCAACCATGCTCCAGTCGAGTTGCTCCAGTTGTGCCGCTGCTGGCAACGCAGCTCGTCCAAATCACCAACTAAACTAGTGGGCGGATCGCTTTTGGGGCGGAGTGCTTTCGAAGTCCTGCTCAGCAACCAGCACCTTTCGTCGTGAAAGCGCCACACCTCGCTTCCTTGGCAGCCAAGTAACTGATTCGTGTGGTGCATATGCTTCCCGATGCGCTCCCTCTTTATCGTAATCGCTTCCTTCAAAGCGTGCGATTTTGGAGAGTAGCCCACAACGATACAGAATGGGATGCAGTGGAAGGTTTGAGATGCTAGTGGAATAAGTCAAAATGCCAGAAGAGTTTCTAGTGAAGCACTCCGGTGAACCAAGTGGAATCGTTCTTGCCGCCAGCATTTGTAGCAGATGTCCGGCGGGAATTTCAATGCAGTATTCCGGTTTTTTTTTCACCAGAACAAGTGCAGTTTTTTTCTGTTCTTTTCTTTCTTATCTTTAACGATGGGTTTCAAGGCTGTGATGCATGGGTAAGATAGAATAACGTTTTTTCCGGGAGGAATTCCCTCAAGCGGCAACGTTGATCTACTTCAATCTCGCCGCATGGTTAGGCGTGCCTATAGAATTGAAGAAAGCGTCGCCGCAGCTGATAGAAGCCGTGTGGATAAGCAGTTTCTAACATACTCCGTTGGATATCAGTAAGGCATCCTGGAAGAGGCTTATCCGCGCAACTTCTATCAAGTGCGGCGGCCGCCACTTCAAATGCGAAGACATGCCTAACCAGACTTTGAGATATGGACTGCATGATTCTTTTCCACCTTTCTTGTCACATTCATGCAGCTACTCCATCTTCAATATGAGTTAAAGGAGGATTCCAAGATAACGTGGAAGGCTGAAGAAGGAGAGACTCAGCAAGCAGAAGGCACACCCACCACCGGCTATCCACACTTCGCGGATCTCCAGTCGTTTGGCAGAAAGAGAAAGAGAAGCGTCAGCGTTGAAGAGGGCCGAGAATTGCACAATGCGGAAATCAATGGGCAAGCAGGTTCCCTTTCATGGGTTCTCATGGTTTTTTCTTCATCCCGGCCCCACTGACCATCCTTACCTTGAACTGACAGGGTCGCCTTCTACTCCGCCTTTAACACGTTGACGACATCGCGCGTTTTGGGTTTTTGCACCGCGTGGGACAAGGGCGCTTTTGCGAGCGCGGCCGTCACACCTCACACCCGTAAATTTCGAACGATAACCTTGGGAAGCTTCAAAGGTACGAAACCATTTCAGCAATATTCAATGCGTAGAAAGTAATCGAAGATGTAT